ACACACACACAGTCACTTTAATCAGTCTAAATAAGCTCTTTTTGCACTACAAATCATTATATCTGCACTGTTGTTTACTTCACTGGTTTGCACTCTATCTGCCATGTGCCGTGTGCTGCTTTATATATATTATTTTATATTTTATTTACATTTTACCTTATTTGTATATTTGTATAGTTGTATTTTATATTTAATCTGTATATCTGTATTTATGTTCTACTGTTAGTGTTATCTGTATGCACCAAGGGTCTGAGAGTAACGCAATTTCAATTCTCTGTGTGTATGTGCTGTACATGTGGAAGAATTGACAATAAAGCAGACTTGACTTGACTTGACTAAAGCCGCCATATGTTTCACCATTCAACCCAATTCAGGTGCTGGAATGAGGGAAATTGGCCTTGATTTGTTGGGAATCGGTGCTCGTCCATCCCCAGAGGCTGCATCAGGGTGTTTGTGAGGATGTAATTAACACTGATGTCTAGATGTGTCTTTAGAGCAAACAGGATAGCACTTAGGCCCAAATTACCGTTAGCATCGTCTTGCATATATTAACACCAGACACTGAAGGACTTTTGATGAGGATCTGCAGAGACAGAGAAGGTTGTATGTGTGGCATTTACACATGCACAATGCATTTATCCTATTCATCTATCAATTTGAGAGCGGTGTGTGTGTTTGTGTGTGAAATATGATTTATTATTATTATTATTGTCATTATTTGTTATTTGTAGCTATAATAAATAACCACAAAACAAATTATTAAATTAATAAAATAAAATAACATTTATTTAACTTAATTTAATATTTAATACATTGTTGATTGATTTTTATTTATAATAATTAAAATATCAAATAATGAATTTAATAATTAAATTAATAAAAATACATTTATTTATTTATTTATTTATTTATATTTGCTAATTTATTTAAAAAAAATCACAGTTGCAGTAAGGCTCTTAAAATGTAAACAATGCCATGCACAGAAATGTGAAGCTCATATTGTTTAAAAGCATTTATCGTGATTATTTAGTGACAAAAATCTATTTTTTTTATCTGTAAAATTGTGAAAATCTTTGATCTTAACCACTAAATAACACTATATCTAAGTGACAAAGTTCATCCACAGTGAAAAATTCTGGAAATGTAAATTTGACAATTTTACTACAATTTCTTTTTCCCCCCAATGTAAATTATAAGATGCCTTTTTTCTTTTCATTTACAAAAAAAAAAAAAAGAAGTAATTTAACAGTATTTTGAAATGTCCCATTAGATCTGTTACAGTTTGTTAAAGAAAATAAACTTTTACTTGTACTTTTTTTTACTAATTTTTACTGTAGCATTTTTACAGTATTTTACCATTAAAATCACAATCATTTAAAAAAAAAAAAAATTCCCACATATTCATGAGGGTTTAAAAACAGAAATGTGAAGCTCATAGTTTTTAAAAGCATTTATCATGATTATTTAATGACAATTTTTGTTGTTGATCTGTAAAGTTTTTAAAATCATCTTTTTAGTTTGTGCGGGTCATGAAAGTTACAGTTTTTCATGGCTCATGACATTGAAGCTGAAAGACTGAATACAACTTAACACATAAAAGACTGTTGCATGATTATTTTACACTATTATAACAGTATACTTTCACTATTAGTATGTTACTGTAACCACAATGATTTTTATTTAATTGATTTCAACTGACGGATGAGTCGAACTTTTTTTTGTGGTTATTAACGTAGCTAATGCTATCAAGCTTAACATCATTAGTTATTGAACCTGGAGCATTGTTTTATTCTTCAGTATGCTGGTTAGCTGGTAAAACTCTTACCTGTGATGGGATGCATAAAGTTAAACTGTTCGAAATCTCTAAAGGAGCGAACATGACGTGTAAAAACTACAGTAAAAGAGCCCATTCAAGTAGTTTAATGTAGCTAGGCCCCGGTCCTGCGGTGTTTGAGCTGAAGAAGGTGGATCGGTAGAGCTGCGCTCAGAGCCTTACAGCCAACTGGGGCAGTGAAACCAGGTCGCCCCCACGTGAGGAGAACTTCTGTTAAAAAAGGCCTTCTCCTGGAAGGGAAAGACTAATTATACTTCCTTCCAAAGTCACACTATCTCTCTCTTTCTTTCTATCTGTCTCTGTGGCGCGCTCAGAGATGTGGACCACGAGGCAGAGCAAATACGCTGACATTGACACAGTTAAGATGCCATTTCAGGCTCCTCATGTGAGGAGAGATGGCCTCCAGGTCTGCTGGATACCGCCGCATTGACATGCGCCGTAATAACTGACAGTCCGACCTGGTTCAACCTTTTTTTTCTGCTTCTGAATAAATGTTTATTCATCAAAGGAATCTTTAGGATGACCATGGCACTCGTTCAGATTAAAAAGCCTTTGATGGCTACATCCCAAAAAAAAAAAATCCAAAACTGCTTTTAGATTGTTTGGATAATATTATTATTATTTTTGAAAGAGTGCCATGCCATGGTCATCCTAAAGTTTCCTTTGATGGACTTTTACAAACCCTAGACCAGTAAGCACCTTGCCTTGACCTTACGGTTTTCCCAGAGATGCACTCTCTACTATTGGACTTTGCTCGAAAATTTTTATTCATGTTTATGGCACATCATCTGGTTCTAATAGGCATCAAAGTTGTTGAAATGACTTGTGCACTAAACTCCAAGTCTTATGAAGCAGAGTAATTGTAGTTAACTAAAATTGAAACTAAAATAAAAAATATATATAAATAATTACTTGAAATAATGCAAAATAAAATACAATTTCTGCTAGTTGCCAAGTAATGTACTAAAATAACTACAACTAAAACTGAAATAAACATGAATACAAACTATACAGACAAACAGTAAAAAAGTTCATTGATTTATTTTAAAGTTATTATTTGTAATAAATAAACACATAAATAAATGAACAAACAATAAAACTGTTTAAAGTATATATTTTTTTAATTTAACAGTATTTTACTGTAAAATTACATGAAATGCCCTATTAGATCTATTACAGCTCTTCACCATGTATAGTTAGGATTATGTCTAATGTTTAATTCACCGTAAATTTATTAATTTACAGTCTTTTTACAGTGTTTTACTGTATTAAGACTTGTCAGATTTGCACTGGATTAAAATCTCAATGTACATCTGTGAAACACAAATTTCTCAAACGTCCCCCTGTAAAACTTTGTCAAACTTAGTGTATCTTCACATACTAAAATTGAATATGTGAAAATATAAATATGAAACCTGCAACTTTTTGGTTTGTGACCACTAGGAAATTTTTATTTTATTTTATTTTATTTATTTTGGCTGTAAATTTTAAGATGACTTGTTCTTTTTCGCTAATAAAAACTGTTACTTAAAATGTAATTTACTGTGAAATTACATGAAAAGTCCCATTAGACTTATTACAGTTTTCACTTTACACTATTTGACTGTTAACATTTTTTTTTAAAACACAGCTCTCAGATATAATTCACATGTACTTATTCACGTTAGTCACCTATTTCATTCGACAAATACGATTTTTACCCACTAAGGCAACACAATACCAAAGTTTGAAGTTCATCTGCAGTAAAAATGTTTAAAGGTCCCATTCTGGCAATATCAATTTTATGGTTGTTCACTGTAATTTATAAGATGACTTGTTCTTTTTCACTTACAAAAGCTGTACATTTAACAGTATTTTGCTGTAAAATTACATTATTTTTTTAATATATATATATATATATATATATATATATTTATAGTTAGGGAACCATAGCATTTTTGCAGTCTGTACCATTAAAATTATGATAATTTTACAGCTTTCAGATCTCATTCACACATTTACTTATTCATCCTTTTGGCCACCAACTTTTTTGGTCACCAATTTTTATTTTTAAGCACTTAGCCAACACTATCCCAAAGTTACAAAGTTTGCCCTCAAGATGAAGCCCCATATAACTGCACAAGCTCCGAAAACTGCATTAGTGAGAAAACACCATTAACTCCAGCCAGCAGAATCTCAGATTGCTGCTGCGCAGAAAATCCATGAGGCAGCTGGGCCTCGAGTCAGAAAGTGTGTCCTTCGGGCCAAAGAGCAAAAACATTAATAGAATTTGAATCCCATTAGACTGGTGTGGGTGGGGTGTGTTGCTCTAATGCCATATTGTGGAGAAACATTGATTAATGGCTTTTGTTTGCTGCTGTATAGTTCACAGGCCTGAGGTCCCGAAAACCTGAGAGACTAAACCTCCACTGTTCATTATAAGACAAAGCGCAATTAAAGTTGTGTATGTGTGCGAAAGAGAGAAAAGATTGCTGGTTGTGAGAGGCAAGAACCTCCACAAATGGAAAAACAACAGAAACAATCGCCTAAATGGGGCAAATTGGCTAAACCTCTTGGGGGCCGGTGTGTTTGTATCTTTAAACTGGATGAAACACTAAACAAGGATTTATTTCAAAGCTGAGCCGAATTTGGATGGTGGTTTTTTTTCTTTTTGGAAAGCAGTGAAATGATCTTCGACTTTTTTTTTCTTTTTCCCCGCAGAGCACTGGCGGACATTTTGAGACAGCAGGGGCCCATTCCCATATCACAGTACGAGCATGAAAACGTCGCGGCTATAGACACCTCGCCCAAAGAGAACACACCTGTACGGACATCCAAGAACCATTACACACCGGTGCACAACAAAAACAACCACGGTAGGTGGCGCCACTTCTGTGTTATCGATGAAAATGTTTTACACATTAACTAAAATGTACTATGGTATTAAACCGTTTTTTTTGTGAGGTTTTTCTCATGTTACCATGTGAATGGAAAACGATTGTGGTTTAAAAAGGATTAGTTCTATTTTTCTCATGAATATGGAATTCGTTTTGGAATGTTGGAATCTTCCAAAAATTTGAAATAAATTACCATGGCAACAGGTTAAACATTAAAGTTTAATCCTAATAAGAGGGGGTAATCAATATGTCTATGGATATTGCAAATTAAAATTTGCATTCTGGTTGCAAAATAGGGAAATAGAGTTGGTGAGCTGATGAAAGGCTATTAATTAAAAAAAAAAAAATGTTAAGTTAAATTAAATAAATAGAGTTGTGCAAAATGTAAATTGGAATTGCGATATGCTTGATTTAGAAAGGCTGTGATTTAGTCTGGTGCGGTTTCAGAGTGAAGCACAGCACTGTGTTCATTTAAGTCTGAAATGCACACTGTCTAGTAGGTGCTTGATTTGGTTTGAATCTTAGTTGGTTCTTGTAAAGATTGAACCCAAGTGTGAACACCCTTAAAGGCAACTATTTCAGTTGGACTGTGGACTGTTTGTTATTTTTGCCTGGATGTTTCGGCAGCAGAGACACAATGTTTAGTTCAAATTGCAGTCGCAGTTTATGACAAAATAATCACAAGTAATGGTTTTTGATGCACATTGGCTATGTCCAAAATCGCATGCTGTCTTGTAGATATTACATTTGCTTTGAAACCTACTTCCTGACCATTAAAAAAGTAAGTTAATATAGTAAGTACGAATATGGGTATGAATGAAATCTAGATGTACTATATCCACCCTGTTGTTACTGTAATGCGACCTACCAGCATCCGTTGCATCGCTCCACTGCCATTAATAAATCCTCTCCCATGGCCTCATGGGATAGTAAAATGGCAATCAGATTCACACTTCAGAATCGTGCCAGGAGTAGTAGGTCATCTGGGTACTTTTCACACTCTTGTTTTTCGAATACTATGAAGGCTGCTCTTTTGCCTTATTGTTTTTCGCCTACTGTATAGTATGATAGTAGGATTATTTGGATGCAGTGATTGTGTTTCTATGTTCACCGTGTCTCAGAGTGACTTGGTTTACAGTAAATTCTGCTCCACACAAATTCCATCTCTGTATGTTGTTTGCTGTACAATGTGCATTTGTGTAGCATGACTTTATGTCATGGGTTTGATTCCCAGGGACTGCATGACTTGATAAAATGCATAACTTCAATGCAGTATAAGTCGCTTTGAATAAAAGCATCTGCCAAATGCATAAATACAAATGTGAAGTTGTATATGCATGTGTGTGTGGGGGTGCACATATGCTCAGGAGTTTCTTTGCATCAGTATGTTTGAGGAAACATCTGCCGTGACACAAACTTCTCCCTCCAACTCTCTCCCACAGCACTTCTTGAGCATGTTGTTTCATATTTAAAAGCTCAACATCACGTTGTTTGCCGTGCAAGCTAATATCAGAACTCAAATGTGAATGAATTCCCCATTCACACAGAGCGCCGCAGTCAAACAGCCATCAAAACACGCTCCTCTGATGTGCCGTCAACATGCTTCCACTGACTCCAGTTCAGTATTAGCTTTAATGCAGATGTACTGTCTCGTTTGTGTTTGAGCTAATCAGTGATTTGGCTTGTTGTACATCAATATTAAAAACGCTTGTGAATAAACTAAGCGCAGCTGTATTTGAATGAGGTCAGCTGTTGGGATTCACGCTGAACATTAGTGTTTGTCTGAGCGAGACGCTAGTTTAAAGTTTACTCACTCGCTGCAGCATTCACTACTCAAACCTTTAGAGTGCCATTTAGAAAGTTTGTCCTGTAATTTAATTAAAAGAACAGGAAAAAGTCAGCAATGAATGACTGATAAACAAACTCTTTGATGACTTTAATGTCAGATGCTGACTGAATCTGGGTCATTCCTACTAGGCAGTATATTTTCATGTCCCAGTCATTTATGGCGTCTTATACTGAATAATATATTATACTGAATAAAGAACTTAGAATACATTAGATGGAAACCCTATTAATTCCCGCAATCACAATATCAGTTTATATTTATTTTTCAAAAAAAAATTT